CTTGGCTCTAGTGTCAGTGACTCTGCTGGCGTTAAGGCCCTCAACTTTTGCCTTTCTCAATCTCTAACTCAAATAGTCAACTTTCCAACTCGTTTTCCAGACAACCCTAATCATTTACCTTCTCTACTCGACTTATGTCTTGTTTTGGATTCTAGTCAGTGCTCAATTTCTCCACATTCACCCTTAGGTACTTCTGATCACGGTTTGATCTCTCTAAAACTATTATCAAACTCTTCTACTTCATCAGAATCCCCCTATCATCGTACCACATACAACTACCTTAAAGCTGACTGGGACTCTTTCCGTGATTTTCTTCGTGATGGCCCTTGGGTAGAAATCTTTCGTCTTCCTGCTGACAAATGTGCTTCTTACATAACTTCGTGGATTCAGGCTGGCATGGAATCTTTTATTCCTTCTCGACGATTCCAGGTCAAGCCTCACTCTTCTCCTTGGTTTTCCTCACATTGCGCTGCAGCAATTTCTAATCGAAACCGTTACTTCCATATCTATCAGCAAAACAATTCTCCAGAAAACAGACATCTGTTCACTATCGCCAGAAACCATTGTAAAAAGGTTTTGTCTGACGCCAAAGCTCGCTATTCTCAGGTCATTAAATCTCGTATCTCATCACAAAAATTAGGCTCTCGAGACTTCTGGAGAATCTTTAACAGTATCAATAATAAGGGCAAATCTGTTATTCCTTCTCTCTTGTATGGTTCAGACTTTGTCACCTCACCTAAAGACAAAGCTGAATTGTTTGCTAAGAACTTTTCATCAATATCATCTCTCGATTCCACTAGTTGCGTTTTACCTGACATAGCTGTCAAACAGGTTGATCCCTTGCTTGACATTCGCATCACTTCAGCTTCTGTATCAAAAGTAATTTCCTGCTTAGACTCTTCAACAGCTTGTGGTCCTGACAACATTCCTGTTGTAGTCTTGCAGAGGTGTTCTCCGGAGCTTTCATCCATACTCTTCAACAGCTTGTGGTCCTGACAACATTCCTGTTGTAGTCTTGCAGAGGTGTTCTCCGGAGCTTTCATCCATACTTTCAAAACTATTTAACAAGTGCTTATCAGAGTCTTGTTTTCCATCATGCTGTAAAGCAGCATCTGTTATCCCTATTTTCAAAAATTCTGGAGAGCGATCTGATTTATCTAACTACCGTCCCATTAGTCTTCTTCCTGTCATAAGCAAGGTTTTTGAATCTTTAATCAACAAACACTTAATCTCTCATCTTGAATCAAATAACTTACTTTCTGATCATCAATATGGATTTCGGTCTTCTTGTTCTACAGCTGATGTGCTAACAGTAATAACCGATAGGTTTTACCGTGCATTAGATAGAGGTGGAGAGGTTAAGGCTATCGCACTTGACATTTCTAAAGCTTTTGATAAAGTTTGGCATGCTGGTCTTCTCCATAAGCTTTCTTCTTATGGTGTAGCTGGTAACATCTTTAAGATTATTGAGTCCTTTCTTTCCAATCGTAGTATAAAAGTTGTCCTCGATGGACAACACTCTTCTTCACATCCTGTAACTTCAGGGGTTCCTCAAGGTTCAATCCTTGGCCCTATACTCTTTTTAATTTACATTAACGATCTTCCAGATATTCTCACATCTAAGGTGGCATTATTCGCTGACGACACTACCATTTACTCTTGTCATGATAAGAAGCCTACACTCTCTGATTGCTTGGAGCGGGTATCTGAGCTTGAAAAGGATCTCACTTCTGCTACAGCATGGGGCTCACAGTGGCTGGTGAACTTTAATTCAGATAAAACTCAATTTTATTCGGCCAATCGTTATCGTAATAATTTAGATCTTCCTATATTTATGAATGGTAATGTACTAGATGAGTCATCTACCATTCATCTTCTAGGATTAACTCTTACTTCTGATCTTTCTTTTAAACCGTATATCAAATCCATTGCAAAATTAGCATCTGCTAAGGTTGCATCTCTTTATCGAGCTCGACACTTTCTTACTCCAGATTCTATTCTCTATCTCTATAAATCTCAAATCCCTCCCTGTATGGAATACTGTTGCCACATCTGGGGCGGATCTTCTAATGATGCTCTTTCTCTTTTAGACAAGGTGCAAAAACGAATTGTAAACATAGTTGGACCTGCTCTGGCAGCCAATCTCCAACCTTTGTCACATCGTCGTAATGTTGCTTCTCTTTCTCTTTTCTACAAATACTATAATGGGCACTGCTCTAAAGAGCTAGCGTCCCTTGTGCCATCTACTAAAATTCATTCTCGTGTTACTCGCCATTCAATTAAGTCTCATCCTTTTTCTGTGACTGTTCCTAAGTGCTTCAAAAACTCTTATTCTTCTAGTTTTTTTCCTCGAACATCAGTTCTTTGGAATTCGCTTCCTTCATCTTGCTTTCCTGATTCATATAATTTGCAATCTTTTAAGTCATCAGTCAATCGTCATCTTGCTCTACAGATTTAGTCTTTTCTCTTCCAGTAACTTCCAACTCTTATAGTGGTTGCTTGCAGCCTTGTTGGAAGTGAAGATGTTAAAAAATATATATATATATATATATATATTATATATATTTATATATATTTATATATTTTTATATATATATACAGCAAATAAAGTTAACGGCCTTACAAGATTTGTCTATAAATTTTTTTATAATTTACTGTTTAAGCCTAAAAATATTCATCAACTTATCTAAAATTTTATTTGCACATAAACAGAGTCAACAATTATAGGATCTCATATTATTTAAAAAACTGGTTCTCTCTCATTGAATAAATTTTGAAAATGCATATGAAGCCACAGAATGAAGTCAAAAAGCATGCAGTGGTTGTTTTTGATAAAGGAAACAATATTTTCTTTTTTAGGAACTAAATTAGAGTTTGAATAACTGATGGAATTTGGGTTAAAGGGAACAAAAAATAATTTTAAATAAACAAAGTTTTTAATATCTAAAGGATGAGTTTGTTAAGGAAAACCTATATGGGATGAAAATTATTTTTAATAAATGAGAACTTCTAACAATTGCCTGTTCAAATTGGCATTTTTTTTTTTTTTTCAATTTTGATGAAATACCCAGTTTGATTTATTTTTGAAGAACATTTTTTGATAGTTTGAAGGAACCCTCTGATGTTTAAGTAAAAACAATATAGGTGATTTTTATCTAAATTGTTTTGTTTTGATGACTCCACTGTAACTTTATACTTTTGTTTTTTTGTTTCTTAGTTTGCATTACATGGCTGATGATTGGATGGTGAACATTATTTTAAAATAAAAATCTAAAATATATATACATATACATTAAATAAAGAAAAAACAAAATACAAATTAACTAATCAGCAGTATCATGAAGTGAAAAAAGGAATTTGTTTTTATTTATGCTTTATATATTTTATATATAATTTATATAAAAATTAGAATTATGGTTTTTAGATTTTAGATGAAGTATGGTTATCAACACTATATAATTTTCTACTTAGTAAAGAATGAAAAGTTTTCCATTTTTGAAAGTCATTTTTAAAATGTTATTAAATATAGTTCCTCTATTATTTTAATTTAGTTAGTTTCTTCTATTATTTTAATTTAGTTAGTTTCCTCTATTATGTTAATGGTTTTTAAAAATAATCAAGAATATGATGATAATGATTTTTTTATAACACTTTGTAATAACCCTTAAGTTGAAATTAAATTAATATTATTTTATATAGGAATTGGACGGGTTGTCGACCTACATTGACGAGAATCTTTCTAAATTCAAAAATATAAAGCTGTTAAGTCGCAGAAGCCAAAGAACTAAATTAAACAATATTTCACTTAATAATTCATCTGTGCTATCTCCACAGTCAGTGTTATCTCCACAGCATCAGAATAATTATTGTAACAACTCATCTGTTAACTCTTTTGTATCTCCTGTGTGTCAAAAGGTTGATGATGGAATTATTTTAATAGATGATGAGAGTTCTTCTGAGGATGACAAAATTTGTTCCAGAAAACAAACTTCAAATCTAGTAAAGTTGCTGCAGTTTTCAGAAAATACGAGACCAGCCTATTATGGGACGTGGAGAAAAAAATCTAAATTTGTTACTGGAAGAAATCCTTTTAAAAAAGATGAGGTGAGTATAATTTTTTTATGTGAATGTAGTTTATAGCTGTTATACTCTCTTAACAGGGTTTTAAAATTATTTGTCCTTAAATCAGTTCAATATAAAGTTTTGTTTTAAAATACCTGAGCTTCTATGAAATTATTTTTTGCTCATTTTTATTGAAAATATAAACGCTTTTTTAAATACTTATATTAGTTAGGAGTTTTAAGTCAACCAATCACAATTAATTTCTTTAATGTAGCATATTATTACCAAACTTTTTAATTTATAATAAAATTAAATAAAAATTTAGGATATTTTTGATTACACTATTGACAGCGATGAAGAATGGGAAGATGAACCAGGTGAAGATTTAGATGACCATGTAAGCTTTTGTTATTATGTGCATTTATTTATACAATTTTATGCATCATGCAAAATTGTTTTATGCAACATGCAACAGTTATTTTCTTTGTCAAGATTGAAAATACTGTTGCATTTTTTTGAAAATACTGTTGCATTTTTTTATTATTCAAATAAATGCGTTTTTTTTTTTGAGTTGACTTTTTTTTTTTTGAGAGAGATTTTCTCTCATATCTCTAGCTAATAAGTTTTTCTTGAACTTATTTTGTGAATTTAAAATTTTTTTTCAGAAGGTAAAACTGTTTTAATTTTGAAATTTAATTTTAATCAACAAAGAATAAAACAATTGGGTGTATTGCATGTTATATAAATTTTAATCCCACCTTAGCTATATCATTAGACTTTGATTTTTTTTATCCTTTTCTGTTAAAGTTCTGAACAATTGCATAATATAAATGTAAGTGGCTAAAAACAAACTTTAAATTATTTTTAATGTTAAAACTTTCTAATGAGAAATTATATATGAAGCTCAACTTCATTCAAATTATGTTTAAACTTTGTTGTTTTTTTCTGGTTTTTCAAACTTTAAAAATATTTTGGGCATAAAATTTATTTTTATTTTTGGATGTAATTTATGTTAATTTTAATTCAATTTAAAAGATTTTTTTGTAAAAATTAGATAGATGACGAAGATAAGGAAGAAGATGAAACTGAAGATGACAAAGATGGATTTTTTGTTCCACATGGTTATCTTTCAGACAATGAAGGTATTCAAGAAGATTCTTTTGATGACGACTTGTTACCAGGTGTTCAAAATAAAGTAAGTATTTTGATTGCTGGCAATGTTTTCATTGAAATAAATCCATGGTTATTTTTAATTTATTTTTCATAGAGTCACGAGGAAAATACACCGTTGTGTTCTTTTGAACGAGAGTTTCAGAAAAAGTCTAAACCACTAAAACCAATATGTATCGGGATAATGTTTTGTAAATCATTAGAGACAGTACATCCTTTGTTAAAAGACTATATGAGTGTTGCATTATTTCAAACAGACAATGATAAAACTGAAGAAAATTGTGATAAAATAGAACCTTTAAAGCTCTCTGATAGTTGTACTCCACAGATTGTACCTGAGGAAGGTTGCCTTTTTTTTTGTTTAACATGTATATATATTTGTGTATGAAGGGCTTGCTTTTTAGGTGAAACTTGGAGAAATTTATTTTAAAATATATTATTCCTATATCTTTATGGTTTCTAAAAAGCAGCCATTTTTCAACAATGTTTCTGTGGATTCTGTTTTTCCTTACTTTAACTCTTCTAGCTTGTGGTCTATTTTTTTTGTCATGGTAACTAATGTTGTTATTGTTAATATGATTTTAATGAAAAAGTAAAAAAAAAACCTTATAGATAACAGTATGTTCTTAATTCTGTACTGCACTCACTCACTTGCTCATGTCTTGCTCATTTATTTAAATAACTGGAACTGTTACAACATCATCAGCAATTGATGCAATTTTTTTTGTTTTACTAGTAAAAAAGTTAGAAAATTAAAGTTTTACATTGTTTGTTAGGTATTCAGTATTCAAATTACTAACAAAATTTGTAAAAAGTTGTTGTTCTAATTTATAAGAAACTAATACCAAGTTCACTCTTTTTGTAAGAAATATCATATTTATTTGAGGTTAATTTTCAACAAATTGTATTTTAAAAGTTGAAATTTTTAAACTATTGTAAATTTATATTATAATTAAATTTATATAATAATATAATTAAAATGCGGTAGTGGTGTAGTGGTAGAGCGCTCGCTTCATAAACGAGTGGTTCGGAGTTCGATCCTCACCACGTCCCTGGTAGTACCGCGCTCAACTCGTTTCTCCGCGCAGCGGCCTTGTTCATCAAGGTTCGTGTTTCGGAGTTATAGAGTTGAGAGAGGCTTATAGCCACAAATAAGTAGCCTCCTCGTCTGTAGTGGCCTTCTCGGCCTTGAGTAGGCGAATTAAAATTAAAAAAAAAAAATTATAGCATGTAACTGATAATTTTAAATTTTATTTTTAAAGGTTGCAACTGGTCCTTAAAGTTCCAAAAATTGACAATTAAAATAGACAATTTAACAATTTAACAATTTAACGATTTCAACTTAACTTTAATTTAAATTTAATTTCAATTTTCAATTTAACAATTTAACAATTTCAGAATTAGAACAGAGAATTAGACAAATTTAGCCCATTTTCTTATAAAAATCAATTTATTGGACAGAACAGACCATTAAAATTACTTTAAAGTAATAAATATAATTTTTTAAATTTTGGAAAAAATTTTATTCATACCTGTAAAACAGGTTCATATTAAACTTTTTATCCAAAAGAATTTTAAATTAAGAATATTACTATTTTAGATGTTCAAAATGTCCAGGATTCCTGATTTTTTTCTACACTTCTACCCAGAGCCATCCCAAGGTAAAGATGCTTAGGGGGTGTCCTCCACCTCCTCCAGGGGGTGTCTAACCTCTACCTCCTCCACCTTCTCCACCTACTTCTTTAATTTCTAATTTTGATTTTACTTTAAAAATAATTACTATTTCAGTTTTAAATCAATTTACTTGAAATTAATTTTTATTTAATATATTTGTTGATTTATTTATATTATTATATTATTTACTTATTGATACAATAAATAGATAAAATAAACAAGTTGTGATACACATTATAGTGCATGAAGTCAAACAACAGTATATGTCAGACTGTAACAAGTTTTTACAGTTTTGTAATTGTCATAGTTTTGAATATGTTTAAGTTTTTTGCATTCACAACTTCTTGGGGTCAATATGTCCAATATTCTATTTATTAAAAATTTTGTTTTTTTGCAAAATTTTTACATCTAAGTTCATAAAGCTGTATAATTGCATGTCGAAAGATTTTATTTAATCTATTTTTGTATGTTTAAACCTTTTAAAATGTGGATACAAATTACTCTTTGTTGTACTCTTTTATTCATGTTGATATGTTTTTGTAAATGTTCCATAATGGTGCTTCATATTCAAGATGAGATCAAACTAATGATGCAAACAGTAGTCTTATATTTCTTTTATCTAAATATTTAAAAGAGTGTTTCATCACGCCTAATTTTTGGTAATCTTTATTGACTGTATAGTTAACGTGGTAATTCCACTTTCATTTGATCTTCATGTTAATTTGATCTTCATCTAAATTCCACTTTCATTTGATCTTCATCTTAATTCCACTTTCATTTGATCTTCATCTTAATTTCACTTTCATTTGATCTTCATCTTAATTCCACTTTCATTTGATCTTCATCTTAATTTCACTTTCATTTGATCTTCATCTTAATTCCACTTTCATTTGATCTTCATCTTAATTCCACTTTCATTTGATCTTCATCTTAATTCCACTTTCATTTGATCTTCATCTTAATTCCACTTTCATTTGATCTTCATCTTAATTTCACTTTCATTTGATCTTCATCTTAATTCCACTTTCATTTGATCTTCATCTTAATTTCACTTTCATTTGATCTTCATCTTAATTCCACTTTCATTTGATCTTCATCTTAATTCCACCTTCATTTGATCTTCATCTTAATTCCACTTTCATTTTCATGATCATCAAGTCTTTTTCTAGTTTTTTTTAGTTTAGTTGCTTATCATTGGAATTTTAATTTTTTTTAGTTTAGTTGCTTATCATTGGAATTTTAATTTTTTTTAGTTTAGTTGCTTAACATTGGAATTTTATTTTTTTTAGTTTAGTTGCATATCATTGAAATTATTAGACATCAAGTACTTGATTTTAGGGTTATTTTTCCAAATATGCATTTGTCGTTATTAAATTTTATTAACCAGTTTTTGTTCATTGGACCATTGTGTTCAGTTCTTTGTAAATCTTCTGTACTGCTTTTATGGTCTATATGATGTATAAATATTATTTTTGATCATCTACATTTAGTTTACATTTGTTATTTATATTTATTTATATATCATTAATGTATAAAATGAATAATAATGGTCTAAAGTACTGATCCCTGAGGAACATCACTTACAAAATCTATCCATTCAGAAATATTTCTTTAAGTACTATTTGTTGTAACTGATTTTTTAGAAAAGCTCTGCACCAGTTCAATAAATCACAAATCAATACACAATCTTTCATGTGGCAATGCTTTACCAAAGTCTAATAATATAATGTCAATGGAATATTATTGTCAATTGGTTTACTGACAATATCTAATGTTTCTAGTAAATTTGTAACACTTTTCATGGCTTTGTGTGTTAAAAAGTGTTACAAATTTTTCAAGTTTTTAATTTTTCAATTGTGTAATTGATGTTAAAGAAATCTGCCTATATTTTAGCAGACTTTATATATGTTACCTTTTTTATGCATTGGTGCTACATTTGCATGTATCTATAAAAATGGTAAAGTTACATTTTCAAATGATTGATTAAATATTAACTCTAAAACATAAACTTTTTGAGCATTCTTTAATATTCTTGGATGTATTTTATCTGATGATTTATTTGTATTTAATTTTTTTTAGTTTTAATCTCAAATGGCTTTAATAGTATTTTTTATTTTAGTTTTACTGTTTATATAAGGGTGTATAAATTTATTTTGTTTTTTTACTGTTTATATAAGAGTGTATAAATTTATTTTGTTTTTTTACTGTTTATATAAGAGTGTATAAATTTAGTATTTGATTTTGATTGTTTTACTAAATTACGTTCTTGCTCCATAATTGCTTTTGTAATATCATTTTTTTAAATATAAATATTTAAATATTTTTAGATTTTTGTATTTTTTAACATCATCTATATTTTTAAAATCTGCAGCTTTAATTTTGTACCATAAGTTCTCTTTAATTTTAATTTAGGTCTTCAGTCAACCATAATGATTTTATCTTTCTAATATTTTGGTTATTTTGTTAAATTTGAGGGATTAACCTTTTGCAACCTTTCTCATAGATTGTTAACCAGCTTAATTAACACTTAAGGTAAAGGCTTAATAAGCACTTAAGATTTTAAACCCAATCATAATTATCAAAGTATTGACTTATTTTTTTGTTGAACAGTTTGATGGTCTTTATTATTGGTAATTTTATCCACTATATTTAAGACTCAATATATGATGGCCACGTTCTAAATTATTAAATTGGTATATTTTCTAAAATATTAACTCTGTTACAAGGTTCAGCTAATACTAAGTCTAGAACATTTGTTGTTTCAATGACATTTTTTTGAAAATTTGAAAAAATTTTCAAATACGTAGTTTTTGTTTAAATAATTCAAAACGGTCATAAAAAACTGAGCTAATTTTTTATTTCATTGTTTTGTATTATTGTACTATATTATATTCATTTCATTTTATCATATGAAAATTAAAATTGCTGCCAATTAGAAAGCCGCTGTATTTCTTGCTGTTAACTAAATTTGATGCATACTTTAATGATTTCACCATACTTTCATAAAAAAAAAAAACTACTATCTGTAGTACAGTAAATAGAGCCACATAATCTGCTTTCAATAGCACATTTTGTTCATACCATATTGTTTCAACATCGTATTTATTTCATTTAAATTTTCATTAATAATTTCATATGACTTTATATTGTTGGTAATATAAATACAAACAACACCACCCTTACTTTGCTTACGATCTTTTCCATACAGTGAATAACTTTCTATGTTAGTTGGTTAGGCAACTGTCCACCATGTCTCACATACCATCATAACTTGCGGTTGTTTTGTTTTTTTGTAATTAAGTCTTCATATTTGTTGTTTTGATGTTGAATTGGTGTACTAACATTACAGATGGGATTTTTCATTACTAGTTATCATTTTTTTAATTTTTCTTTTTTTTTTTTTTTTAGTTCTTTTTTTTCAACATTTTTTATTCTTTTAGTTTTTTCTTTAATAAATTTAGCTTTTTGGGTTGTATATTTTAACAACTCTGTACCCTCTAATAACAAAATTATTTAAGTTATCTAATTTTGTTAAATATTGATTTTGTGCATTTCTTTGAATAGTAACTTCCTTTGTTAACTTTCTTTCAGCTTCATTTTGATTTGGTGCAATAAAAATATTTTTAAAAGTCTCTGTTTCTCAATCGGGTTCTTGCTGCACGTAAAACTT